ACAGCCAGGTTTCAGTTAATGCTATGATGTCCCAAGTTGCTGCTTCATGCCGATGGCGCAATTCCGGCAACTTGGAGTAAAGCCCTTGGGCGTTTGTGTAGCAGCATTGCATTTGTTGCCGCATTAGGAGGTGGGTTCGCTGTGTTTGACCGGCACAAACAGTGCCGGTCTGCCCACGTTTTTTGACACGAGTGTTTGCACGCTTGGCTGGTCTATGGTCGGAAAAGCCAGGTCTGACTCAACTGTACCAGTGGTCTGTACTGCTTGCAGGAATGGTCTCAGTCGTACTTCTGGTGGTCCTAGCCTTCTGCTGTGGTACCACACGTTAATTGCCATTGATGCCATCTCCGGCGTAGCCAAGGTAACTTTTAAAATTTTCGGCCCGCTCCCTTGATAGTTTGGGGAGGAAGCGAAGCGGCTGACGTCGAATGCCACAACAATCTGCATGCCATAGAGTTCTGTGATGTAGCGCCACTCATCAATATCGTGTTTTTGTCTTTCACTGGTGTCGCCATGTTTCAGTTCTGGCACATCATGAACCAACACCACTTACTTCATTACATTTTGACGAGACGCGGTTGGGTCGGATTTTCGCTTTTGTCTTTCCTTCCATGGCATGTATGGAAAAATGCGGGCCCTGAGAGAAGAGTTCGGTAGACTGTGGCCTGCCAACAGAACATCCTCCAAGTCCTTTGTGTTGCCAAATTTTACTCGCAGTAACCGAGGTTCCCCTACGTGAGGAGACGATGGGTTTCGTGACAGACGTGTAAGACTAGTTGGGAGAACGTTTAGTCCTAGTGCGCAGCTTATCTCAGTCCAGCGATTTTGTTCTTCGGCTTGTCGACCTTTTAACGACTCGCTGGGGGGTTCTGGTACGTTTGAACATATGACTGTCATCGCTTGTTGGTTGCGTAGTAATTTAGTTTGTTGCAGTTCTTTTTGGGTGGAGGTTTGTCGTGTGGGAGTGTTGGTCTTGTCTTGTGGGGAAGACAAGTCAAGACTGCGGCAAAAATTCTCCTGTGCAACGACGTTATTCACACAGTTTGTAATGTGCTGCCCAGCTAATAGCGATGATCGTGCAATTTGTGCATAACTCTTTACGCCTTGCGGTACAACAGAAGATTTTATAGAATTTTCAACTGACTTGGCATCACAGTTGTTTATCGCTTGTTTTTCGCCGGAACGTGTAACATTTTTAATGGATAATTTTGATCTTTTGGTAGGTCTGTGGTTAGGGCTACTTAATACACTAAGCTGCAACTCGAGTTAAGCGATTTTCCCTCCCAAAGCCTTGACCAATTCTATCTGTTCGGATGACGCAACAGCCAACATTTCACACCTCGCGTTGAGAGTTCGGATAATCTTGGCTATTGGGCTATCTGAACACGCATCACAGAACCACAAACTATTTGTTATTACGCTGCGGTTTCCGCCAAGTTCTGAGTTCACGTCCACTTCGTCGTAAGAATTTGCACACAAAGAGCACGTGATTTTGTGATGACAGTTCTCCGCTTACTTGAGCCATAATTGACCTTCGTTGTTTTGTTCACGCGTGGACCCGCTGATAAACTTCGCCTTCCCATGGCTTAGTGACTCGTATGCACTTTAAATCACGCCGGTCGCACCGTTGTGAGCTGCGTGAATTGACTAGTCCGGCTAGCGGTAACCGTCGCTGTCCGGGTTTGGTGGTGATGGGTCCTGGCGCAAGCGTGTATGGAATCACAAACACTTCGTGTGGTAGGGTGCACGAAGGAATATAGATGAAAGGACAAAATAGCCAGTATCTATGGTGTATGGTGGTGCACAGTACTAAGCTATATGTCACCTGATAGCTTTAGAAAAGCTCTGTAGAATGGTTTCTTTTTTTGAATCGACAAATGTGCCCTTGTGAACCCATTCTGTCGCGAACACTGCAAGTACGGCATTTGGTAATTCCTGATGATATTTCACTGATACGCGCAAGAGATTAGGTGAATGCAACCTTCGGAGAAGGTTTTGGTCTCATTCGATATGACGCTCCAGCGGCGTTCGGACAAGCTCTCTCTCGTTTTAGTTTGCCACTGTATGGAGCATGTACAGAGTAGTCCATACTTCCCTGCAACGAACCTCGCTCAGCCTCTCGGCAAGTCAGCCTTGATATTCAACCCTTCGACAGCGTGTGACTACTAGATTAGGTCACAAAAACCGCCTACAAATCCATCCTGCTATTGGATCACTGCCAAACAGCCGCAGTTTGCCGAAAAGCCAGGCAGGCAACCACATCAAAGAGACGTGATCGTGTGACTTTCCCTCCGTTCGATCATAGTTCATGGACCTAACCCGACGTCTTAACGTCTTCCGTTATCCATCAGAACACCAAACGAATGTTTGTCAGCCCCAATACTATTTTGACCGACAAGGTTTGGGATCATCCTGTTCTGGTAGACCTTGTGAAAACGACATTCACATAATTGAAGAATACAATACCACGCACTGTTTTCTCTTGAACGTCTAAGCCTAACGCTTTATATTTAAACACCAGTTGTGGTACGGTAACCTGGGTTCACAGTGTACGTATTAGAATAGGATTCTCGATACGTTGTACAAGGTTTCATCCTAATTGCTTTAGCCCAAATTTAAACGAAATAGCAAAAGCAATAACACGATCGATTCAGTTTGAATCTGAGTTGTGTATACGGCCATTCCATTCAGCTGATGTAAATCTGTGCTGGAGTCAAATTACGATAGACCGGCCAAAAATTTAGAGTATGCACCTCCTTACTGGAATAAAACGAATAAGTGCCTCGAACTCGATGTCCAGCATTAGGCTCCATTTCAGAAAAAGACAGACGGGCCACCCGTAAGTGCGGCGCTACAGAGTTCGGTACCCCGATACGAAGGGCTGTTCATAATGAGGTGTTCACAGCACCCGTATCATCAAGCGGCACGGCACACCGGTTGCCGCTTCGGGACGTGTATGTCGCATCCGTTGTTGCCGTCTATATTTGAGAGTCAAGCTTCATAGTGGCCCCCACCGCTGCCAAACAAGATGCAATTCCTTCAACCAATACTACCACCTATGGTTTCATCGGTTGCTCGACCCGTATGGTGCACCTTGTACACCATCCAAATTCATTACACTAGATGAACCGCGTTTACTCCAAGTAACGCGTCAGTCAAACGCTGACGAGGAGGCAGTTTCCTTGCCAGCTAATCACCTCCGTGCTACCACATGCAAAGCAATTTCCTGAGCTTCCAAGCTTCAATCTACCGCACGCCATCTATCTAGAACCAGTCATGGATGCGTTTTGCTCCGCAACATAGGTCCTTGTAGCAACTACATTATCTGGATTAATTAAGCAGTTCCAGTTTTTCAAGCCCCATGGTTTCCAATGCAGCAGCCGTTGATATATCGCCGGAGTGTTGAACTAAGACAAACGTGTTGCTTAATACTAATTTAGACGACCGAGTAGAGCAAACAGCGTTTTACAATCCGAAGGAATGCATTGCCACTTGTCAGCATCTGAGTGCCAGTTACATGCTAAGGCAAGTTACTATCAATTTCCGTAAAGTTCCTCTGATATGCTGTGGGTTAGACACCTAGTAAAAGATACGTTACTGTATTGTTTAACTGCACCGTCTAACAATAAAAACAATTACCCAAAATCTTCCTCCTACTCATTAGTAACACGTTCATTTGGTAAACCATAGAGTCGGTGTACGCTTCTCCGTGGATGGTTAATGCACATGACATATTTCACACTGAATAATTAATTCTCCCCGTATCTTAGTATTTTTATCAAACCAGCAGTATGTCTTAACAACTTATAACACATCTACTTAATCCAAGAGCTTGTTCATTGTACTGTATGGAGAGGCGCAGAAAGCGAATATGCAGTCTCTTTCATATTTGTTCTCGGATAGATAAATGATACTGACTTAAAGGTAAGCAGAAAAGCGAATCATTCATTATTGCTGTGTGCTTTGTTTTACGACCTCGCTTTATAACCATGTCTCACGCCTGCTTCTGCGCCGTGTCCAGTGCGACTTCTAAGCATGTCGAACTAAATCTAGCAGTGATCAAAGGAACACATATCTGTCATAAATTTCAACTCACAGAATCTCGTATCTGGCTTTACAAAACATAAGTGTTGCCTGGCATGGAATACTGCTCACTACTACAGTCGAATCTGCGGAAATCTGACCAGCATGCTCTTGAGAGGGTACAGCGACGCTTTACAAAGAAGCTGTGCGGATATTCCTCCAAGATGACCTACAGAGAGCGCAGTGAAAAACTTGGACTTGACCCACTTTGGCTACGGATAATGAAGAGGAACTTGTGTTTCCTGTACAGAATAATTCACCATCACATGCACAATTATGCTAACTGTGTCCATATGTCCGTTAACACTAGATACGAGCTACGAAATAAGGAGACAACGGTCATGATTCCAAAGTTCAATACGCGAATTAGGGAGCGTTTCTTCTTAATACACTGCTCAAAGCTTTGGAACAAACTTCCAAGAGCTAACATAACTTGTTGCATATTGCGTTTGTTTAAGCTCTCGATAAAAGATCATTTAACCGTTCAAAATGTGATAATAATGTTTCGAACAGCACAGTCCTTAGATAACGCTTTTGAGAACGGAGTTAATGGTGCCTGAAAATGCATGTGGTCAAGTGCACAAGTGGTTATATTTTGTTGGCCCGCAGCACTTTATTGTCTTTTTTCTTTTTTCGTGTGCGATCGACTCTCATGTGACTGCTAAAAACTTGTCAGACGATAGAACCAGAGGAATGTAAATATTTTGGACCGCTTCGCTCTACACAAATTTTCAATTTGTGCTCACATGTTTTAAATTTATTATACCATGATATGAAACTGCTGTACCATTATTTGATCCGCCCCTTCTGGGAACGGCTTCTCGCATCGTCGAGCCATATACAATTTATTTATTTATTTATTTAACACATTTCATTAGAAAATATAACACTCGTTCGTTACAATTGCTTTGTTGTAGACTGAAGCGAAATGTCACGTGGAATTCCAAGAGGAGTCAATGACGAATAAAATGCTTTATATAACCAAACTAAATCTACTAGTGCCGGCGGCACTGGTCAACGAATCATCGACGGTCCACATTCAGATGCGGTTGGCCAACAAACTGAAGCGGGCTAATGTGAGCTGTCGTTTTCCGGTACAAGTACGGAACTCATATGCCTACTATGGTACGCGCTGCATTTATCGACGTCGACTTCCGAAATTACTAACCTACATCACTAAAACCGTTAAAGTATACCACATGGTTGTAACGATGTATCTAAACAGACATGACTATTCTGCTTGGAATGCTTAAAGAACGCTGCGCAACTTACATGCATAATACTTAGAAAGACAACAAAGTATACGTGGTACATGTCTATTTCGAGCAGATGCTCCGATAACACGCATCTGTCAGCGGCTGCTTGCTAGCCAGGGAGTACTGCGATATCCCCGAACCGGCACAGAATAAGATCGGTTATCCGTAGATTGGAAGAACTCACTAAACCATTACAGGATCAGGAGCGGGCATATATTGTTAACGCATACACTGTGTGATTTCATTGTGTTAGTATAGACTATTTCCCCATTTTTCTGCTGACCATTATCTAACATAAACGAGGTCATGCTAAGGATAACTAGAGCAATCTAAGCATTCACTCTACCTGGACAGAGTTTTATGGTACAATATTGTCGACAGACTTCATATGAAATTCATCATGCCGAAATCTGTGCGAGAGCTGACGTATGCCTCGGAGGCATTCTTTCCTAAGTATCTATGCGTTATATAGTTTAGTCGCCTTGCGTATAAGCGATAGCCTATGTTTGTAAATGGCAAAATATCACTGTGCCGTGCACATGTGGAACCAGCATACGCAAAATGATGCTGGTAAGTGGTTGTAACCAGCTATAAGAATGAATATTTCAAAGCTAAGCAGTCACTTTACATCAAAACTCAATCATGCACATGTGTGCTACATCTATAACCGATGCCATTCGCAATGTTGTGTGTTGTTCACACGATAATAACTAACTATGAAACCTGGAGAAAAAGAAATAAACAAGCGCTGTTCTTGTTATGTTACTTCTGTTTGTGTCCGACCTTCATTGTATGTTGTAGAACCATCACACATGCTACCAATTGAAAAGAGATTCAGTAAGTCTGACTACGCTGTATGCATTTAGATGCAAGATAAGATGTCACAACACCCACAGCTTAACTTGTATGTTTACCTCTGTCACAAATTCAGTTAAGTGCATTGCGATACCCTAGCTCAATAAATGATGCATAGTTTGTTGATCGATACGTGACCACTATCTAAATTGACGTAGTTTCATTTGTTTCCTTCCTTATCTAGAGTTTACTGTGACATACAAACAATCCGACGTAGAAGGGCTAGGTAAACTGGTGTCGGATAGAGAGGTGTGCAATAAAGTAAGTGATCAAAGTAACAAGTTTTACAACTGATTTTGTAGACCCTAAATTTCACGCTAGTTGTGAAATCATTTTCCACCTGATTGAATGCCTCCCAGGCACACCAAATTAAAACACGCTATTAAAATGTATTTTTTATTGTATCCAGGTAAAATCGTACGCAGCTGGCTTGATTGAATCATGCTACGGCCATAGGATATACGACATCTACTCGACCATTGGAGTTTTGATGGAACCAACAAAAGTTTCGGTGTGGGAATTAATACGTGAACTCATGTATCGTTTGAATTTAGCGCGTCGCGATCAATGCATGTTCAACGTGGAGAATACGTTGATACCCAAAGGTTACTAATGGATAATGCGCGCTCATGAGCGTTCATCTGCAAGTGGATTCAAAACTGATTCGTCCAGAATAAATGCTGTGGGAAATTTAACCTACAAACTACCCTGATTACATTGCTGTTGAACATATCTATTGCTTCCATCGAGCGTTATTGTTATGGGAAATGATCATATTCACCATATGCATGCATATATATAACAAGAAAGCTAAATTCTTTTCCGTCATCTTGTGAAACGCTTCACAGGTCAAAACGTGTCAGTTATGTTGAATCATACGCAGCCCAGTAGCTGAGGTGTTTCTTACCTCTGGCTAACATGTATTATCTTTATGTTTAATTGTTATGTTATAAAATCTATGGTGTTTGTGCGTTCCTGCTAATAACGAAACTTATTGTCCTAAATTTGAAACCACAATAGTCGAAAAATGATTTTCAATAGGGGCAGAAACAGTGGGAATATCCCGTGAATGTTCCATCCTGGCAGCGTTGTTGATCCAGGATCGACTTCGACGAATCGATTCGAGTGAGTCAAATCGGTGCGCGCGTACCACACACCATGGTCAGCTGATCAGAACTAACAATATTGATGTAATTTACCAATCAATTATTGAATTAACTGAATTTTATCTGTTAAAAAATATGCAAATCAAGAAACCGCAGAAATACACATTGCGCAGGTGTACATAGTTTTACTGCTTTGTCTTCTCGAGAAGTTAGCCATGCATTCGGACAACAATTTGTGGATGGGATGGCTAACCGAAGTGATTATTTCAAACGTAGGCGATTTACAGGTGTTAACACTACTGGATATGATGGCGTTAACAAGTACCTGCCTTGAAATGTAACTACATCGAGACATATGCTTGTTGACCTAGCAATTAGTGCGGGGTCCTTACTCAGGAGACCAGGACAAATGATTGGATGGTCCAGTATAGTAGCGCACATGGAGTGATAAAACACTGGATCAAAAACGGGTTACGGACAAAGACCTGAGACCTGTAAGGTATAGTGATAGCCTGCTAACCTTATTGCATGATTGGTTCACATGAAGGGAGCACCTAAGTCTACTGGACATTGTTACTCCCAGGTATTTTGCTGACGTGCGAGAAGTCTAACTTTGACCATCGATGGAAAGTTGCTTGCCCTGCGTTAGTATTTACTGTGGCGTATTCCTTTTTTTACCCTGTTGTGTTGTACACTCATCTAGTTACTCTATTCTAAATTGTTTAATGAAGAGTCTTTACACTTTATGATCATCTGCTGCAGTGATTCCTAGCTCACTCCTTGATTACTGACCGTGATTATTCAGATTCGGATTCAGATGGGACTGAAACGATAGGAAAATCCCTTGGGTCTTCCATTTTGAGCGGATGGTTGAGCCAGGAAATGCTAAGGTGCTACGAGGTCTAGATGGATCTAAAACGAAACCCCCGAACCACAACCTGGACACCCAATTACTGCCCACATCCCCTGCAACAGCAGCTCTCGCTGTGTCGGTCACGTGTAGTAAGGAAGAGATAGAAAGAAAATGAAAGCCAAAAAGGAAGAAAAGACATTTAAATGAAGGATAACACCAAGGAGTGAGCAAAATGACAGAATATGAACTCAAAGTTGGAAAATGGATTTGGTCAGGCGAACGAAAAGGTTACGTGTTGCCAC